AGCTGCTCCACATGGACATTATCGAGAAAGTCAATGGAGCAACCTTGGGTAATCCCAGTTGTCATTGTACCCAAAGCGAATGGGGAAATAAGGATGTGTTTTGGACATGAGACAAGCAAACACTGCAATCACTCGTGGGCGGTTCCCGATTCCCACAGTGGATGAACTGTTGCAAGGAATGAATGGGTCAGTCGCTTTCAGCAAACTAGACCTGAGGTGGGGGTACCATCATTGACCCCAGAATCAAGACACATCACCACTTTCACCGTTCATAATGGCATATATAGGTTTAAAAGACTGGTGTTTGGAGTTTCGTCAAAAAGTGGGCAGTACCAACACGAAATAGCCACAGCTGGCATCAAAGGAGTAGAGAGCATATCAGATTACATCATCATCCATGTAGCTGACAAAGAGACTCATGAGAAAAGAATGCATGCAGTACTAAAGAGACTGGAAAGCTGCGGCTTGACTTTGAATGTAGAGAAGTGCCAGTTTAACATGGACAAATTGGTGTTTATGGGGTGTAAGGGGTGTACAGTCAAAGACCCAGCACCAGATATGAAGAATGAAGACCCGGAGTCAGAATTATAAAAAATTAAAGAAAAGTTTTACTGAAGATAGTTTGCAGTTTCATCAGCAGAAGTCAGCTTCAAGACTCACACAGGAGTTCGTAGGCCGCCTCGCTTACAGTTACAAAGATCACAGCAGTTATACCATTTCCAAGGTCTAAGCTACGTCATTGCTTACAGGTTGAATGATTCTCATTGGCTAAGAAACATGAAAGCCTAAACAATTTAACACATGTGAGGAGATAGGGGTGCCTATCGCCATTAGTCAAGATAGTTGTCGTCCACTCATTAGATTTAGGTCTGTGGTGGCCTCGCAGGTTAGAGAAGGGCGCCGGGTTGTCTGGTCCGAACGTCCAGAACCTACATGGAATGTCATACGCACACACACAAATAACAGACACTAGCAAATAACAGCTCCCATCAAGGCTGAAGAGAGTTTGAGCTCCTTATTATCAGTTAAGTATACCAAAACATAATGCTAAAACATTCACTCGTTTGGGAGAAAAACAGATAACTGGCATTTACTCCCAAGGAAGGAAATATACTGGAAAGAATACATTTTAATACAAAAATTAAAGTTCGATAGTAACGCTCAATATAGCTTGACCATCTGTCCAGCGAAGGAAAATATGTGTCCACGCTGCCTTTAGGACCCTCTACTGATCCCAGAGAAAGAGACAAACGGCCTTGTGGGTTACGTGGCCTTTGTGTCCTGCGTGTACTACGTGCAATCTCAAAGTAAGATTGGAATGCACCTAAAAGAAACCGGTTACTTACCTCACATGCATTTAAGAAAATATAATTTCACAAGCACAAAGAATATAAAAATGATTATGTGATAATGAATATATTTGATTATTGATTTTTATAAAGGAAGTATATAAGCATTCAAAAGGATATATGATTATAGATATATTTGAAGAGGCAAGGGATTTTGACCAACCCTTCAGGGGATGCTGTTGTCAGTGAAAGGCATAGGCCCGACGGCAGAGAGGGTGAGAGCAGTTGTGGAGGCAAGAGAACCTGAAAACGTTTCAGAGGTGAGAACTTTCCTCCATTTAGCTGGCTATAGTAGGCGTTTCATACCTCAGTTTGCGAGCATCTCAGAACCTCTGCGCAGACTGACAAAAAAAGACACCAAATTTCATTTCGGAACTGATCAAAAGAAAGCTTTCAAAACTCTCAAAGAAAAGTTGGCCGAGGCCACAACACTGGCTTACTTTGACAAGGACGCACCAACAAAAGTCATTGCCGATACTGGACCAAAGGGCATTGGAGCAGTTAGTTCAGGACCAACGTGAAGGAATGGTTCCTGTCTGCTATGTGAGCAGGAGCTTGACAGAGTTTGAACAAAGATATTCGCAAACAGAGCGCCAAGCACTTGCTCTGGTGTGGGCATGTGAAAGATTGCACCCTTACGTTTATGGTCGGAAGTTTGATATAGTCACAGACCACAAAGCATTGGAGGCAATTTATAGCCCTTGCTCAAAACCATGCGCATGAATCGAAAGGTGGGTCTTGAGATTACGCCCTATGATTTCCGGGTGATTCATTTACCAGGAACAAACAACATTGCAGATCCTCTGTCACGTCTGCTGGGCCCATCAGCCAAAGGTGAGATGCACACACATAAAGCAGAGGAATACATGTGGTTTATAGCAGTTTGTGCGACACCCAGTGCCCTGACCACCAAGGAAGTCAAGCAGATCTCAGCAAATAATACAGAGACTGAGAACTGCTATTCAAACAGGTTGTTTTGATGACTGTCCTGCATACAGACATATTGCATGTGAGCTATGTGTCATTGGCCAAATAATACTCAGAGGAACAAGAATTGTTTTGCCACAGTCGCTGCGAGCAAGAGCATTACAGTTGGCACATGAGGGTAATCTTAGTGTGGTAGGAACAAAACAACACTTGAGGCGTTCCCCAAAGCGTCATTCGACGCAGTGCGAGTTCCCTTTCGAAAGGGAACTCAGCAGCATCTCTGCATAGAATTGATGTATAGCTTTCTCCTTGCATTACCCTTCAAATTGCGCAAATTGAAATTGCGAATTGAAAATACGCCCAATGGAAACACGTCAATTTCGCAAAAACTCCCATTTATCGCAAAAAAACGTTACGCTTGCATTATTACAAATGAAAAAAAGACTATCTAGTATGGAAGCCCGTCTCATATACTGATAATTTATTAATGTTATTCACCGCGGAATGTGCCATGTTTGCTGTGATGCATTTACACGGCTTTGACCAGCGGATGTCGCTAGCGTGGCCACTCCCTTCTGCTCCTCGACTGAATATAGGTCTATTTGACCTGTGCAGTGTGTGTGTGTGTGCGCGTGTGTTTGTGTGCGTGTGTGCATATGTGTGTGCGTGAGTGTGTGTGTATGTGTGCATATGTGTGTGCGTGAGTGTGCGCGCGTGTGTGTGGGTGCGTGTGTATGTGTGTGTGGGGTGTGTGGGGTGTGTGTGGTGTGCGTGCCTGTGGGGTGTGTGGCGTGCGTGTGTGCGTGTGTGGTGTGTGTGGGGTGTGCGTGTGTGTGGGGTGTGTGGTGTACGTGTGGGGGGTGTGCGTGCGTGTCTGTGGGGGGTGTGGTGTGCGTGTGGGGGGTGTGCGCGTGGTGGGGTGTGGTGTGCGTGTGTGTGTGGTGTGCATGTGTGTGGTGTGGTGTGCGGGTGTGTGATGTGCATGTGTGTGGTGTGCGTGTGTGTGGGGTGTGTGGTGTGTGTGTGGCGTGCGTGTGTGTGGGGTGTGGCGTGCGTGTGTGATGTGCATGTGTGTGGTGTGCGTGTGTGTGGGGTGTGTGTGGCGTGCGTGTGTGTGGGGTGTGGCGTGCGTGTGTGTGTGGCGTGTGTGTGGTGCGTGTGTGTGGGGGGTGTGTGGCGTGCGTGTGTGGTGTGTGCGTGTGTGTGGGGTGTGCGTGTCTGTGGGGGGTGTGGTGTGTGTGCGCGTGGGGGGGGGGTGTGGTGTGCGTGTGGGGGGTGTGCGCGTGATGGGGTGTGGTGTGCGTGTGTGTGTGGTCTGCATGTGTGTGGGGTGTGTGGTGTGCGGGTGTGTGATGTGCATGTGTGTGGTGTGCGTGTGGTGTGTGTGGGGTGTGTGTGGCGTGCGTGCGTGTGGGGTGTGTGTGGCGTGCGTGTGTGTGGGGTGTGGCGTGCGTGTGTGTGGTGCGTGTGTGTGGGGGGGGTGTGGCGTGCGTGTGTGGTGTGTGTGTGTGTGTGGCGTGCGTGTGCGTGGTGGGGTGCGGTGTGTGTGGTGTTGGGTGTGCGTGGTGTGCGTGTGGGGTGTGTGTGGTGTGGTGTGCGGGTGTGTGTGGTGCGTGTGTGTGGGGGGGGTGTGGCGTGCGTGTGTGGTGTGTGTGTGTGTGTGGCGTGCGTGTGTGTGGTGTGCGTGGTGGGGTGCGGTGTGTGTGGTGTTGGGTGTGCGTGGTGTGCGTGTGGGGTGTGTGTGGTGTGGTGTGCGGGTGTGTGGGGTGCGTGTGGCGTGCGTGTGGGGTGTGTGTGGCGTGCGTGCGTGTGGGGTGTGTGGCGTGTGTGTGGTGTGCGTCTGTGTGGTGTGTGCGTGTGTGTGTGGGTGGTGTGCGTGTGTGGGGGGGTGTGGTGTGGTGTGCGTGTGTGTGGTGTGCGTGTGTGGGGCGTGCGTGTGTGGTGTGCGTGTGAGTGCCTACCTGTAATTGCGTGTGTATGTGGAAAGTTAGGTAGAATTAGTTAGCTAGCTAGTCTTTGTGTGTGTGTGTGTTTCTGTGTATGTGTCTGTGTGTAAAATTAGGTAGAAAGTTAGGTAGCAGCAAAAAGTAAGGTAGAACAGTTAGACTATGTGTATTAGCATGTAGATACAATGGGTTATCCCACCAGTCACTATTGTTGCCGGTGACATGTTTGTGAGTTCTATGAACACATTAAACAAAGTTGAGTAATTGCAAATGCATATATCAATACTAGACACCTTTAACATGATGTGTACCAAAAATCTATGTCCTATCTTTATGTTAACATACTTTACTAATCTATTCTTTGGGAGCTTTCTTGCTGCCATCCTCTTCTCTTGGCAGAAACAGGAAATAAACAGCTCTGGTCATGTGACAATTTACAGTAAACATGCGACACTGCACATATTTCACTGAGACCACAGAGACCCTTTATTATTTCAATATCTGCTGGAAATGCATTGATAGATCATTCAGTAACATTTTTATAGATCAATAGGCTATGTTTTAAAAAATGTCTCATTGTACATCATATCTTATGCATATTATATGAACAGAAAAGTGACTTTATTTAAAAGTATTGTGGTTAAATATTAGATAGATATTTAAAATAGTAGATTTCCGATCAAACTCCACTCACTTCCGTTTCTGTGGCCGTGGTTTTGAAACTGCTGGTGCTGCGGTATGACACATCGGTAACGCCCTCTTCAGACGGAAAATTTCTTCATGAGAATCAAGATCTTTCTCCACCCTTCCCTTATCTAATTTCCTGCAAGTTAAACGGGCTTTATATGCCTCTGAATCAAACACAGAACATTGAGAAAGATCTTAAACACCTAAAGGTAAGTAAGGATGCTTAAAACAAGGATTTTCACTTCTCTGAGTAACTTAGCTAACGTTATAACTTACCTAACGTTACCACGACCGCTTGAAAAGAGGTTATAATAAACAAAAAAACATTGATATTTGTTATTGTATGTGTGTCAGCTGTCGGGTTAGATTTGGGTTTGGGCTATGGACTGTGAACCATGCTGTGAACGGATTTAGTCTCTGACGGAACAGAGGAGAAAGGAAGCTCAAGTGATCACGCACTTCCGCGCTTTGCCTAACATATTTTTTAGTGTTACGCTTAGCCTATAAAAAGTCGATTGAAGCTTGGTTAGTTAACTAAACCTATTTTATTCATTCGGTTAAATCATGGGCATAATATGACGTTAATATTTCAAACCTGTCTTGATTGTTATGCTAGCCGCTAACAGGCTAACAGAACCAGGTTGTGTTGATGTGAATCTTTTGTGCCTGTTTTGTTGTAGAGAATGCTAGTGTTAACTTTTGATTATTCAAAAATACATATTTTAAAAGTGCATTTCTTTACGCCATGACGCTAAAATGTCTTTTTTGTTTATTTGGTGCAGAAAACAAATAACATTGGCCTTGATTAAGGCTGACATTCACCGACATTAACAAGATGGGATGCAAGGTGTTGTGGCTCAGTGTTGCTCTCATTCCGTATCTTATGATCTGTGAACATGTCCGAGGTGAGTATCTATCTATCTATCTATCTATCTATCTATCTATCTATCTATCTATCTATCTATCTATCTATCTATATATATATATATATATATATATATATATATATATATATATATATATATATATATGTGTGTGTATATATCGTTAGTGAACTACGATTTAGTTTCAGGTTTTACAGTCGGTGCGTCCCATTGCGAGTACTTATATGCTGTTTTATAGTATACAATGTGCGAGTAGTGTGTTCTTAAAGGGATAGTTCACCCAAAAATGAAAATTAGCCCATTATTTACTCACCCTATAGGGCTGGGAGATATGGCCTAAAAAAAAAATCCGATTTACGATTTAAATCGATTTTTTCCCCCCTACTTAAAATCAATCTGCAGATGACAAAGAAATTGTTCAAAACAAGTTTTAACTTAATTTTTTTTTATTTTCCCTTTTGGGATTTAATCTGGATTCCCCCCTTGGGGTTAAAGTGCAATCAGAAACAACCAGCCAAAAAGACAAGATGGCAGGCCCTGCCTTTGTAAACCGTGAAAATGTAACATAACATAACGTAACATAACATAAAATGGGTGGATTGAGATTGGGAGGATCTGTAAAAAAAAAAAAAAAAAAACTTGCATCACAATAAGTGTATTGTGATTGTCAAAACATTTGGTAACTAAACAGAATTTTAGTGTAGTTTTAGTGACAACATAATGTTTACATGTACCATACAATGGTACAATGACTGGTATGCTACTGTTTTTATTATTGCTTGACACAAATTTCACAAATTCAATTCAATTTTTGTGATTTGATTCTGATCTTGATTCAATATCGATTCATTTGGATAAATATTAGGTACAGTAGATACGTTACTGTGTTATGTTAATTTTTCGCCCAAAAAAAATCTCACCTAATGCTGTAAACATACAGAGCCAGTCAGATGGTATTATTATTAAAGGTTAAAAATAACATCTTAAATTAAATACAATGCATTTTTTTATAATAACAACGTTATAATATTTTAATTATATAGGTAAAAATATAATAAATATGTAATATAGTTATCATATTTAGCAAAATACTCCTCTCTATAGCAATTTTTTAAGTCCAACTAACGTGCTATGGTCATTAAATGGCTTTCCTGAGTTAAATGTAACGTTAAGTGACATTGTTCTCCAGCTGTTTTATGGACCTCTTTCCGCGATTGAAAAACACTGATCGATCTATTTGATTACATTTCGGTAATTTGAACTGTATCTTTCAAATTACCTATTGATCATTCGTGTTTATTTACTGTTAACTAGTAGTAAAGAGTAACAGATGATCGGTTCACGTACCGCTTGAACTGAGATGTGTCAGCGATCTGTCACGTCACATTTACAAGCGCCAAAACAGTGTTTATTGTTTGAATTTTGTTATTAAATTGACAGAATCTGAGAGCTGAGAATTTGTTTCATATCAATAGTAACCTTCTCTGTCTTGTCTGTCAGTGTCCTCTTTGCTTCGGGATTTTTCTCTGCATTAGAAAATGGATGTGTGGCGTGAGAGCGTGTAAAAAGAGTTGATAAAAATTCTTGAGTTGGCAGCCCTGGATGTTAAAGCAACACTAAGTAAGATTTTTTACCTTAAAATAATGCGTCATGGCATAGCGTAAATATCAGCAGTAGCTATGTCGCATTACTCGCATAAGTGGAATAAGCGCTTTACACTTAAAGGTATAGCGGAGGATTTTCTTTTTCCGGGTGGGTAGTCTATACTATTGGTCCACCTAAGTGTCAATCATTCTGGTGATATGTTTACGTAAGGCGGTCGTACGTGCTCGTCCCGATGTAGTTTTCGCTTTCTGCGCATGCGCGCTTTCAGGTGTATTATGTGTGATGAGTTACGGTTTCAGCCATTTCTTTGAAAATGGCTGAGGGTCGAAAGAGAAAAAATGTATACGAAGTGTATGATAAGAAGAGAAAGGCCGCAGACCAGACCAGAGTGATTTTGGGTGAATATTTCACACGCTGGCGTGCGATAAAAGCACAGGTTGGGCTTCCCACTGATGCTGCAGTCGCGAAGATTCTACTAGACAGGTAAAGTTTGTCATGCTATTTGGAGAAATCCATTTAAAATCACTGCTAGTAAAAGTTAATGTAAGCTATGATTACCGATGCTAGCCCTGGCACAAGTCATGCAAATAGAGTGTTGCGCATGTGCATTTTTAAAAAAATTGGAGAGGGCGGGTCTTCTCTAAAATTCGGAAAGATCCTCCGCTGTACCTTTAAGTGGAATCCGTATGTTCGTTTGGCCTGAAGCTAGTTATTTTACTTTATAAAGTTTTAAATATGGATATTTTTAAATCGCTTCGCTTCAGAATAGGGATGCATCGATCCGATACTCAGTATCGGTATCGGCTCCGATACTGACATTTTTGCAGGATCGGGTATCGGTCAGACGAGGCCGATCCAAATCCGATATTGTGCGTATTATTGTGTTATTGTTAAGCCCCACAAAAGACACAAAACATTATAAAGCACCATAACGTTTTCGTGCACTATCTTATGTGTTCTGAAGCCATTATATAGTATAATGTGAGATATAAATTAATATTTAAGTCATTAAATTCAAGATCACGTAAACTTTTTCCCTCCACTGCGGCTGTCAGTCATTCTCCATTCAGCATCAAACAGCGCGTCGCGTTCGGTTACGACAGCAACACGATGAAACTCTCTCCAAGATGATTCAGTGTTACTATTATTATACTTGATCTGTAGATAAAGCTCTATGGTTTAGCATAAAACAACTTTATATTGCTGGACTTTATTGCTGTAACTAAATCATGTTACTTTCTACCGGGTGTCTAGATCGCAACACTAGAGTAGAGTCAGAGCACTATAATTGTTCTTCACGCGCACAGTAACTGAAATTTAAAACTGTTAAAAGAAAAGGCTCAATAAACTATTGCATAGATAGATACTGTTTATAATACACTACGCATCGATATGTCTTTCCTTTGTGCTTTGAACTTTTCAATGCGGACTCGGAGAGCTGTGACTCCGTGTTGCTTCAAGCACATCATTCTGCGCTCGGGATGCGCATAAGCGCTGTGTGCCGCACTGTATTGGAGTCTTTCATAATCATTCATATCATACTACTTTTGCGCAATGAAAGATTATTAATAGCCTTTCTTGTTCTGTCCTATCTATCATATGTTGCTGCCTCATTAAACAGCTGTGCTATACATTTAAAACATGTCTCAATTTTATAGTAGCCTATACAGGCTATATATAATAATTTATCTTTTTGATTTTTGTTATCTTGTTTTTCATTAATGTATTTCACAACAATACAAAGAGCAATGTGTAACGTTTGACCAGTGTTCAGATTTTATACAATTATTGTGCACTCGTGATTTTTCTAGACTATATTTTACTGCTGAATTATCCACTAATCTAGTTTATAATAGCATTTTTGTCACAGATTATGATCATATATTTTTTGGATTTGTTGTTTTTCTTTAAAATGAAGTTGTCTGTATTAAGTAGATTGTGTTTAACACACAAAAGAGTGATTATCAGTTCAACACAGAGATATAGAAATTCTACTTGATTTAAAAAAAAAACTGCACTGGTATCAGATTGGTATCGGTATCGGCCGATACTCAGAATTTTGGTATCGGATCGGTTTTGAAAAAGCGGTATCGTTGCATCCCTACTTCAGAAGGCCTTTATTAGCCCCTGGAGCCGTGTGGAGTTTGTTTATGATGGATAGATGCACTTTTATGGACTTCAAAACAGAAATGGCCATTCACTGCCATTATAAAGCTTGGAAGAGGCAGGACATTTTTTTTATATAACTCCGATTGTATTCGTCTGAAAGAAGAATATTATACACCTAGAAAGATTTTAGTCTGTTGATCGTGTGAATGAGAAGTGATCTCATCATAGCAACGCAATTTCTGCACTCTCACGAATGCTTTCATCAATAACAATACAAACACGATTTAAATACAGTAAGAGCTTCGTTGTGCAGTGTAACAGCATCATTGATTTCATAACGAGTTTGGGCAAGTGTCCAGAAACTCGCGCTGTGTGATTGACACAGCTTGGGTGATTGGAAAGGGAGTGTTCTTTGATCGCTTTTTGTATATAATTTAATCACCGTTTAAATAAAGATTATTTTCATCGCAACGATGTAAAGTTGATCGTTTAGTCACTAGCTTGATTTGCTGATGCATGAACAGTATTGAACAATTTTGAGAGAAAGATAATCTATCTGAGCTTGAATAATTACACATCAGAGATCACTGATCACAGATCAGGCATTAGAATAAACATGGTTACTTGCATGTTTGTGGCGTTGCTGGCAGATCCATATCGTAAAAGTCTGTTTGCAAAGTCTGCTTCGAAATTGTGACTACCAAATAATTCACAGTGAAATGCAGCAAATACAAACAAATAATGCACTGCTGAGACATTCACATTATAGAAAACCACCCACCACTTTCCTAGCATTAGGATCGTTTGGAAGGTAATGGTATTGATATTCCAAGGCGTTGATATTCTTCTGCGAAGGCGGTCTTTTTCTGCCCTATGACGTCACCTTTTTTGAGATCCTGTCGTTTTCTAGCCTTGGTTTCAATAAAAGCTATTTTTTGGAATAACACGGAAGTTTTTAGTTTTGAAACTTACAGGATATTTTTATAGTATAACGACCTCTTAACTGTCAAAAGATCAAGGAAAATTTGAATTCTCAGTTCATGGCCCCTTTAAACCTGATTAAAAAAAGATATATATTTAATGTTATCCGTGTTATATTTAATCTGCAATAACAATGTGGACTTTTATAAAGATCCATTTGGCCATTAACTTTTAAATGCATCATTATGCATTAATATGAGGAGAGTTCTCTGCATGAAAGACCTGCGACTGCAGATCCACGTGCTACTGAATTTCTTTCCGATACGTTAGGAAATGAAATTAAATGAAATGTGGAGGATTGGTCATCAACGTAATTACTTATTCAAAGTAGGTACCTACTCAAGAGTATGCGATTTCAGACGCAGCCCATGCATTCAATTGTCATAGTTTTAATTGCATAGCGAAGGGGGAGGGGCTATCAGACACCGATGTTGCATGACAAAATAAACTTTTAAAATTCATACACTACACGATTGAGTACGTAGTGCATAGTGTATAGTGCGTCAGTTGGGACAAAACACAGGTTTTTGTTTTTCATGAAACAGGCAAGATAATATCCTCCCTTTTTCTACACTTTATGAGTGAATTATGGGAGTAACTTCCATAGAACTGTAAACAATCAGATACTGGCAATAAACTTGTTTAAAGCTTAAAACTCTTTTGCAAAAACGGGTACAATGAGGTGACATTATTATACTTTCAGCAGACCATGAATAACCCCAAAATCTCAAGGTCTTTGAAGAGTCATTGTCGAGCAATATTATGGGTCAAATATTACAGTAAGAAATAGGAATATTTAAGTCTATATTTTTATGTAACATAATACACATTTATCAAATTTTCCATCATTAATTGAAACATTGACAGACATTTCAAAATGCTCTGTTGTATTTTGTCAGGTAACAAATACTATATTTTCCTGCTTCAGACACATTTTGTTAACACACTTCAACACTGCTGTTAGGGATTAGAAGTGAAAAGGGGCATAAGTTGGGTTTCAAAGTCTGTCTGAAAAAGGGAAACTGTCGTGAATGCGGAGAAAAGCGAGAGATTCTTAATGCATTCCAGTGAATTGTTCATGGGATATTGTTTATTTAATCTGGAGAACAGACCACATGAGCACTGTGTATTTTGTCTTTTTGATGTTGTTGTTACAGTGCTAAAGTAAAAGAAAATAATCGGAACATAGTGAACTGAAAAAAACTCTATTCTTGTGATGCCAATGTCCTACGGATAAAAATAAAGCATGATGGAAAATTTACTTCAGTCAATCTGACAGATGAGGATTATTAGTAGCACCTACTAGAATTGATTTGTTTGTCCTTTTGAGTGACACGATTCAAAATCGAGTGCCATCCATTTTTTTTAAATGCAATAGGTTTGTTCAAAAAAGGTGGATCACTTTTCCATTCTGAGAGTTGTGTAAAACTGTAATATAATAATAGAAAAGGGCACATTGTAAATTCATTCACACGCATGTATAACCTAGTAGCATAATGTTGATACTAGCAACTGATAATGCTTTGCAAACAAAAGTTTAAGCCTAAAGCTTGATGGTCATATGTTGCTACTATACACAGAATTAACCGAATTCTTCACTGTAAACACGGCAAACGCACACATGACTTCCATTTGCAAAATTATTTTACTTTTATATTGGCCTTCAACAATTTCATCAAGTTCAAAGACCCATTGACATCAGGCCGTTAGAATGCCATATAGGCCAGCTCTTCTTTGTTGCCCTTATAATGCTGTCAGAACCATAGACAGTAAAAGAAATGGACAGAGCGATCTCATTGGAACTCAGTTGAGACAGTTGAAGCCCACTTTTAGCGATTTTTGAGCACTTCCGTTCCTGACGCGCAGACTCAGACCGACTCAAACTAAGCTTGATGACGTGAGCAACCTGTCTGACAGACGTGAATCTTCTAGTAGCTGTGCGTGAAAACGGCCAACGTTAATCTGGCAGAGACGGGGAACTTGAGCAAAGAGTTCTTTGGCGTGAGTGAGCAGGAGTAAGTATTCCGTTGCTTTTATGGACTCATTATCTATGGGCTTCTCCCTTGACGGGACGTCCCCCCGATTGCCTGCGAGCTTCTCCTGCTGTCTGTACGGTAATTTCTGTACAGCGCGACAGAGAGTCGAGTGGTTATGACGCAATCGTTAGCCTATTTTTACTAAATCTGTTTCTACGGGGCCATAATGTAACATAGAAGGTAATGGAGCCCTTTATACATTGTCGTGTTTCTTTAGAAATAAATAATGGACAAATGGAGTCTTTAAACGCCTCAGATGTAAAGTTATTCGCTGTCAAAGTGACGCCAAAATGAATGGGAGTCAATGGAAATGCTGACGCAAGTGAAGTTCTGCTACAACATGGCGGCACCCGGCCGGCTTCAACTTCCGGTCGATGGATTACCCCCTTGGTCAGAACCAACCGTGCCGCACAAGTGCTGAAAAGTGAAGCCAGTGTCTCGATCGCCCCCCGATGGCTGGTCCCAGTATAGGTTATAAAGCCCGCCTCCCCATGAAGTCTAATGGACGCGATGGAAACTAAACAATCAAATTACACTTCAAATACATTTTTTCAAAGAGGTTTTCTGTCATTTTAAGTAGTTTTTATCACGCTGATTTAAGTTTGTGTTCGTTTCTTTAAATAAGTTTGGTCTCTTAGTTAGTTATTTGATGCTATAAAAACGGGAAAGTTACGTCATGATTGACAGCTGTGATTGACCGCTTCTCTAAAGGAAGTAGTCACTGAGGCACCAACTGACTTTTTTTCTTTCTTTTTTTTTGAGAGGAGAATGGAGCTTCAACTTTAATTTCTACATGTCCATAACTGATTTTCACACAATAAATTTTGTATTAACCGTTTCTGTGGGAGTGAGGGCAGGACCTTGATATCACGGCTTTACTTCCTGCTCACTACTGCGTGGACTCGGGTCCTGCGTTACTACTGCGCAGAACCAGGTCCCAAAATCAGCGCAAGATGTCAGCGCCATATTAGGCCTTTGGCGGCTTCACTTTTCACCAGTGGAAGAGAGTGAAGTGGCATCATCCATCTTTTTTTATAGTCTATGGTCAGGACTGATTTAATCATGACCTTAGGGCTGGGCGATAAAACGATAACGATAATTATCGCGATATAACTTTTCTCGATAAAACGATATCAAGAGGTCGATAAATGTTCGATAATGTTTATGCGCCAAAAGCGGAACGAAACTCATTTGAACCGCGCGCGCCTCACGGTCTGTTTATCCGCTCGGCTCAAAGTCCAAACGGCAGCGCGCGCGAGCTCACTAGACTAGAGCAGAGCAGACGCGTTTACTCTGATCGTCTCGCTCACGAGATCCAGTGAGAAGCGCTTGAGTTCAGCGAAGAACACAAATGTTTAAAGGGCAGATGAAACACCGCTGACAAACAGGAGAAACACTGCGCGCAACGATACAGTCAGAATCTGAATTGATACTGAATCCATTTAGCCTACCATGGATTTACTGTAAGGTTAGCCTAGTAATATTAACTGCACCATGAAATGTGGTATACATATTGAATTGTATAATATTATTAATGTAGACAATGTATTAAATGACTAATGGAATATAATTATAGTATTTAATAATGTATTTAACTGTTAGGCTACTGTTACCATAGAAACCATAAAGTTACATTTTGCCATGATAGTGAGGTGCTATAAGTTAGGCTTTGCCTGGTTTTATCTGTGGTTATCATGATCTAAATGCATGATACTGGATGACCAATGGTTAATTTTAATAAAACTCAAACAGTCAGAATATTACATTTTACCAAATTAAACAGATGTTACTGTTTTTGTTAATGAACATAAATTTAACAGAGTAGTATTAGCTTGAGTTAGGATGCCGATTTACTGTCAACTCACTGTCAAATATGCATTTCGAGACAAAACATGTAATTTGAATATTGCAGGCTGCACTGCAAACTGTGCTGAAGAAATATTTTTCTATTCAGATATTAATTTTATTAAGGAAAAATTACAAATGTTTGAATGTTCTACCTCAGATTTGTGAAATGTTCACCTGTTTGGCAAGTGTTTGTAATGATATGTTCTGACAATAAAGAGTTAAAACCACAATTAACGCTCTGGTTTATACAACTTTCACTTAGGAGCAAAAATCTGCCTTTAAACTTGAAAGAAATAAAGATTTGACATTTATCGTGATAATTATCGATATCGACTGATATAAAAAAAATATCGTGATAATTTTTTTGGCCCATATCGCCCAGCCCTGCATGACCTTAACCAGCAGATGTGTTTTTGTCCACAGTTCACAAATAATTGTGTAACCTTAATACATTTAGCAACGATAACAGTGCTATATTAATTAACTTCAGCACTTGATTAACCAAGTTGCAGTTATCAACATCGTTGTCTAAAATCTGCTTTAGTTTCAGTATTTGAGAGAGGCCAAATGTTTTAAAATCTTGTAACCTTTGACTATTTAAAAGGAAAAAAATTATATATAAGCATATGAAGAAGCCTTGTGATTTAATTTCAACAGCACATCTTCTTTAAGTCATATTGAAGTATTGAATATGAAATAGTATAAATAGTATTGCATCAGATTACTTTAAAGTATATCTTTTGTTTATTTCCACAGCACAATGTACACAGCCTTCTTTTGCATCAAGGAATGTCATCTTGTCAGAATCTTATCTCTCGACTCAAAGTTTCCCAGATGGATCAACCGTAACATTTGAGTGTGGAATTGGGCATAAACCAGTAAACTCAAGAGCATCTAAATCTGCTACTTGTGAGAGAAACCAGTGGACAAGTCTGGAATTAGAGTGCACAAGTATGTACTATCAATATTATTATTTTTTGAGTCCCCTACATTTGTAATTTTCCCTAAAGTGCCTTTGAATGTTTTTTAAAATTGATATGTGAAGGATTGGTCAGCAAGCCCTTAAATGGCTTATATTCATAAGCAGTTCCTTTATAGTGAGGCAACACTAAAGATAATTTTTCAATATTTTCAGAAGTATGTGAAAACCACCAAATCTCAATAAGTCAATAATATCTTTAAACCTTTACAGAAAAAACCTGTGGGAGTCTTCCAGATTTTGATAATGGGAGATATGAAAGAACTGGGAATTTATTTGGTGACAAAGTTACAGCGGTTTGTAACACAGGGTAAGTGAAACCAATAAATCAGTTTCTTTGTGCTGTTTTAACCATGTATTTAGATTTAGATGTGCTGTGATTTGGTAAGATGATGATCTTTCTCTTTTTTTCTCCAGATACATGTTAGATGGATTGATAAAAGACAGATGGTGCCGAGATCAGGGATGGGATGGCAGAGATCCTGTCTGTGAAGGTGAGGTTTTTATCTTAAATTTGAATGAAATATGACATTGAAGAGCACTCATTTATTCAGAACCATTCATGATGAGTATACACAATTGTTATATGCTCTTCACTTTGTGATGCATCTGAAAATAAGTATTTATTCACCAGAATTTTTTCTCTTTAGTGGTGAAATGTAAGGCACCTCCAGCCATAGTAAATGGACAGCTTGAAGATGTGCCTTTGGACAGTTATGATTATTTACAGGCCGTGTCCTACAGATGTAACAGTGGGTTTAGTCTTATTGGAAATTCAGCACTTCATTGTTCTGAGAATGGGACGTTTAAACCAGATCCGCCAAAATGTATGGGTAAGTTAAACAGCCAGTCAAGAGATGAAAAAAGAACTTGTAAGCTGCTTCTTTTTTTTCTGTTGATGAATAAAATGTTTAATGAATAATATAATGTATTTTACATAAACTTTTATTCTTTTTTTTTTCAGATGGGTGCCCAAAGCCTGAAATTTCACACGCAACTAGAATCGGTGGAAGATCACCCCCCTACAAACTGGGACACTTTATAGATTACAAATGTGATGATGGCTTTTCAATGAAAGGAGACTTCCATATTGTGTGTGGATCAACAGGATGGAACCCTGAACCACCAAAGTGCATTGGTAAGACTAAAATGATTTTATTATTGCATGACTGCAAACCATTTTATCTCCTAGTGATGTCACTCTGTTTAAAGGAGTAGCTCACCCAAAATGAACATTAATTTACTTGTCATTGTTAAGAAAGTCTTGAGCTTTTAGTCTAGCTGACTATCACATTTAGAGGGCTTCTTTGGGATTGGGGTCCCATGGGACCAACGGTACACAGAAGTCACAGTTCGGTTCATACCTCGGTTCAGACATCACGGTTCGGTACGAGTTCGGTACAATGGAGGGAAAAGCAAAACAAAAATGCAGAAGGCAATTTTTTTTTATTGTGCATGTCTCAGGCTGTACCACCTGACCTAGTGTATTACTACATTTGAGTAATTCATGTAATTAATATATTACTATTGGACCATTTTTTCTCTCTCTCTCTCTCTCTCTCTCTCTCTCTCTCTCTCTCTCTCTCTCTCTCTCTCTCTCTCTCTCTCTCTCTCTCTCTCTATCTCTATCTCTATCTCTCTATCTCTCTCTATCTCTCTCTCTCTCTCTGTCTCTCTCTCTCTGTGTGGGGGGACTGGATTAAAGGAAAATAAATGTCTTAAGCCTTGCATTTTTTAAATAAGTTTTATTAATAAAGTAAAGGCATAGAACCAGTTTATTTGTAGTGTATTGACAATAGTTTAATTAGTTTATTAATTAAATTAATAAAAAGACAAAAAGATCAATATATTTGTTTTCCTTAATTTTTTATTTAACTTTATTCTCATCTGAATTATAATTTATTTCTGTATAAAATAATACTACCATTAAACACATTTTTTTTTTTTTTTTTTTTTTTTATCAATGTAGAATGTATAACTTTTTGTTTGAGGACAAGAAATGAAAACCAATGCAATATGATGAATGTCCAAAAGATTGCTCCCACAGACTGTTTTTAAATGGGTTGGATAAATAGATAAGATAATAACAGTTGTCATGACTCATGAATGTTTTGCTGGTCAAACGGAGAAGATATATAGTTCAGATTTTTTCCCCTCCCGTTTATCTACAGCTCAGATCTAGAATTCTGAAGTGAAATAAAGTGGCGCTATAATAATTTTTTTATGAATTAACCAGAGCATGAGAGATAGCGCGCGCGCAAGTGAGTAACCTAATATTGAAGCTTGTTGGTTTAATTAATTGTAACTGACTGGGAAACCGAAGTTTTTCCAAACTTGCGATGGGTGAAAAAAAAAAAAAATCGCTTGGGTCCCCTCTATTTGCCGTGTAAAAAGAAAGGAGTCAACAAATGAAGTTCACGCAGTCGCTCAGTAACATTCTCTTCCTCCATAGCAATCTGTAGTAGGCTAGGCCAATTGATTCATTATTTTTTTTATTTAAGTAAAAATACACATCATGAAATACAACGCCAAGAAATCCCCAAAAAGTGTCAGTGAACTTTCTTCACTACCTTCTTGTTACGACAAACACAACAGATATGTTCACCTCAGAGAATAAGGAACATGGATTTGATTTGTTTTTGTTAATCTTGATTTCTCACAAATTGTGTGTTTTTCTGGGTGTCTCATGAACGCGCAGTCGAGCACAGACCATCGGCCAAGGTCATGATTTTCGTTAAATAAATGTAATATCGTATATATGCCACATGTAATCATTCTGTGATACTTTTGCGTCTTTTTGCAAATGCATGGAGCATATATTCTCTGGCTCTGTAGTCATTGTCCGACTCAGGTTCGAACTGAACACCGCTACTGACAGTTTCTGACATTTTCAGTGTGTGAGATTGTCCTGTTTTGTTGCCTGTATGAGCTCTTGAAGCTCCGCTCTATTCTTGAAAGGGGTGGGAGCTCCAGTTCATTTGCATTTAAAGGGACACACACAAAAACGGCACGTTTTTGCTCACCCCCAAAAAGTGGCAATTTCCACATGTTATAAAAAATTATCTTTATTATTATGATTTTGAGCTAAAACTTCACATACACACTCTGGGGACATCAGAGACTTATTTTACATCTTGTAAAAAGTGGCATCCGATGTCTCCTTTAACAGTTGATAGAAGTCTAATAAAAAAACTGTCCAAATGTGTTTGCGTGGTGCTAGTATAACTTTATCTTATGGTTAGTTTAGTTAAAGGGATAGTTCGCCCAAAAATGAAAATTAGCCCATGATTAGATCCAGGGATGGAAATTAACTTTTTTTGTCCACCTGCCACTGTGGCTGGTGGATTCCAAAATCTACCAGCCACTCAATGTTTTTACCAGCCACTTTCTTGTCTTTAACCGACAATGTGTAACTGCATTTGAAAATTAATACTACAAGATCTACAATACTTAGATAGCCGTTTATTCCATAGGGTAAAGTCTCAAGGTGTGCCTCCTCTAAAAGTGTCCGGGTGAAACGGCATGCTACTTTTATTTACCCGCCATGGTGGCTAGTAGGTGAAGCGAGTTTACCAGCCACAACACAAAATCACTAGCATTTGGCTGGTGGCTGGTGCTAATTTCCATCCCTGATTCGATCTTTCAGATGAATACAATCGGAGTAATATAAAAAAAAAAATGTCCTGGCTCTTCCAAGCATTATAACAGCTCCGGCGGGTTAATAAAGGCCTACTGAAGTGAAGCGATGCATTCGTGTATGAAAAATATCCATATTTAAAACTACGGCCGTACGCAAGTCGACTTATGCCAAAAGAGTAAAGGCCATTGCACACTGAGTCCGAAATTTTCGTATGCGTTTTTTCGTATTTGAGATTTGGTGGCTCTGAATTGTCAAAACATCATTCAAACACCATTCAAACTGATTGCTACGGATGCGAAAAACGCAGAAAATCGAACCCGATTCGATTTTTTTTATGACGGACGAAAGTTTCGGAGGCAGTGTGCAAGCGTTATTGACTTAACGTGAGGTCGTATTTATTTTTTAACGTGTGAAAATTTCGGATGCGAATTTCGGACTCTGCTTTGATGTCTCTCGCTCTCGCGGTTCAAACAAAAAGAGGTGAACTAATCATTTCTCTTTCCGGTACTGACAGCATAGCCTCTATGGGATTGACGGGAAGAATGAAAGACTAGGACCTGATCCTGAAGACTCGAGATTTACTAATCATTTCTCTTTCCGGTACAGACAACATAGCCTCTATGAGACTGATAGCAAGCAAGCAACTTTATTTATATAGCATATTTTTTAAACAACAGACGTTGCCCCAAAGTGCTTTACAGAATAATAACATGAAAGTCATACAACAAAACAGACATACTTTATTCAAAAGCTAAAGAAAATAAATACGTTTTTAAATAAGACTTAAAAGTTGTAATCGATGGAGCTGACCTCACATGGAATGGGAGACTATTCCAAAGTTTCGGACCTACCACGGAAAAAGCACGTCCTCCTTTTGATTTTAAATTTTAAATGATAGGAAGAATGAAAGACTCGAACCCGAAGACTTGAGAGATGAACTAATAATTTCTGTTTCCTGTACAGAACCCATAGGATGTTGCGCATGTGCAGTCAGCACAAAATGAACGAATCACTCTCTAAGACAACTCAGTAGTCCCGAGTCATATTAAAGATTCGTTCAAAATGAACAAATCATTTATGACCGACCCATCACTAGTTTATTGAGCCTTTTCTTTTAACAGTTGTAAACTTCAGATACTGTGTGCGTGAAGAACAATTCATAGTGCTCTCTACTCCAGTGTGATCTAACAGAGACCCGGGAGAAAGACTCATGATTTAGAAACAGAAATAAACTCCAGCAAGATAAAGTACTTTTATGAAAAACCATAGACCTTTTTCTACAAATAAAGTATAACAATAGGAACATTGATCTTGGAGTGAGTTTCCTTGTGTTACTGTCGTTAACCGAACACGACGCGCTGTTTGAATGCTGAATGGAGAATGACTGAGGACAGTGAGGAGAAATACATTTCCATTAACTTTAACGACTTAAATATTAATTTGTACCTCACTTTAAGCTATCGAATGGCTTCAGAAGTCTTGGAATATAGTGCACGAAAACTTTATGGTGCTTTACAATATTTTTTTATATCTTTAGTGGGGCTTAACAATAACAGAAAATAGTACGTACAATATCGAACATTACTGAGAAGCTGCAGGATTTTTGGGTGAAGAATCTCCCGAGCACTGCACTGCCTCGGGAGCGGGATTAAGAAAACAGTCCCGCCCAGGGCTCTATATCACATTCAAGTACCTCATGATACCTAAAATAGATTAAAATTAGACTAAAATAGTACTGGATCTGTTAATGGAGTTATGCATCAGATGACTAATTCATATTACTTGTTTTTCTCCACAGAGCATTGTAGCCTACCTGATTTTAGAGGAAATGTCACTTTAACAGAGAAATTCGACGCACACAAAAAATTCCCACTTGGATCCAAAGTAACATTTGAGTGCATTAGGGGATTTGAACCAGTTGACTCGACAGTGTCTAAATCAGTTACCTGTGAGGAAAACAAATGGACAGAACTGATCTTCACTTGCAAAGGTAAGTACTGCCATTAAATGTGTTCGAGATCTTTTTTTCTTTCTTTTGTGAAACACAAAGGGTGATGTTTAGCAGAAAGTAAATGGGGCTGAGACATGTGGAGCTCCAAATGATAAAACACCACCATAGAGGTCACCCATACAACAATATTTCAGATTTTGACAGCCATGAAAGTAAGCATGTTGGACACTTTGATAGAGCAGAAAGTTTTCAATGAATTATGCTTTTTAAATTTCATTCCTCTATTTTTATTTCAAGATGCCTTTGTGATCCGCTTTTTGTTTGATTTGCTGTTAGTAATAGTAGTTAACAGGTCATGTTAAATTATAAATATATTGTGATATATATGTGATATATGTTACACACACACACACACACACTAGGGGTGGGCAATATAAACAAAATCTTATATCACGATACGAGTCATTTTATTTCACGATAACGATATATAGAGGGAATGCATTAACGTCACTTCCCCGCCGGAACACGCCCCCCTCAGCGGGACTGAGTGGCAGAAGAGCTGCTGCGTGGCTGGAGTTAATAGGGGAAACCGCGTTAACGCGAGTAAAACAAACTATTATCAGTTTAAACTAAAAGTTGGACTCGATATAGTGTTCCTTACAACTTATCAAAGATCCAGTGATCCATGGATATTGACATGCAGCCAGGAATCGTGTTTCCTGACATTTATATGTGCCTGATTTCGACGCCGGGGAAATAAATGAAGACAATTTGCCTGTAAACTTTTTATATAAATACAATATAGATAGGTCTAAATCCGAGTGATCACTTACATTAATGTTATACTGTATATCATCATATCGTCCAGCCCTAAAACTTGTATAGTTTTTTGTCAGTGTTTATTTAAAAACATCCAATTATGCAGAATATAGTCTGTTCTGTAGCTTTTTGCAGTCTGTAAAAATATACAGTACCTCAGATTTCTGGTCAAATCTAGTTGTACAGTCAATCGCAAAGCTCTTTCCCGTTTTAGATGTGTTTTGTGTGATTTTCACGGCATTCACGCTGAAAACAAATGCTGCCGCTCAGTCTTTTTGCCACTTGTGGGCGTGACCGCATTCACTCCGGCCGACGGTGACGTCATGCGCATACCCTCTTAATCACAATATAATTATTTTAGCTTTAAATAAAATTATGATATCAATATTTTGATGCCATTGAAATGTCATAAACCTCATCACTAATTTCAATTTTACAAAAAAAAACTAATACTAGCCAAACTAACAAAAAATAAATAAAACTCAAGCTTACTGAAGCTAAGTAAACAATCAGTGATAAAATAGGAACAAAGAAACTAATTTCAAGCAATAGGACAAAAAAGCTACAATAGAACAGACACAAATTAAATAGACCTACCTGAAAAACTACATACATTTATACTTATTAAAGTTACAAAAGTGATTCAGTCAAGACCCGAGCAATGAGATTCTGATGGCAGAGATCTTCTCTGTAAAAGTGAGGGTTTTTGTTTCTTAAATTTGACTGAAATGTGACATTGAAGAGCCCACATTTTTTTCTCTTTAGTGGTGAAATGTAAGGCACCTCCAGCCATAGTAAATGGAACACTTGAAGAGGAGCCTTTGGACAGTTATGATTATTTGCAGGCCGTGTCCTACAGATGTAACAGTGGGTTTAGTCTTATTGGAAATTCAATACTTCATTGTTCTGAGGATGGGACTTTTAAACCAGATCCGCCAAAATGTTTGGGTATGTACATCACATTTAAAATGCCAGTCAAGAGATGAAAATTGTTTTTTACTCATCAAAAGAAAAAAAAAGAAAAGAAATTGACGAGTAAACCGTTTAATGATTAATACAATTATTTTCAGGATAAGTAATTGTTTACATAATATATTGACACATTTCTAAAATACACTGACAAATTTATTGATTAATGACAATATTAATTTCATGCCTTTCAGTGCAAAATTAATATTTATTTACATCCCTATGATCTTTCATGGATCTCTGAAGAAAATTTTGAAAGTTTCTTCTCTCTCTCATGTTAAGCATATAAGAGTGTGATTTGTATTTCTGATATTATCTAGACTTCTTGAACTCCTATTTTTAGTTACCTAACCCAATGTCAATGTTACATGTTTGACTCTCAGCCCTACCTTCAACAACCACAACTGCCACGATAGTAACATCCAAGGCTCAACCTAAAGATAATGGTATTGCACTCTTTGAATCTATACTCCATTATAACATTTTTAGATACACATTTATATTCTCCAAATGTCCCTGTTTTAAAGAGTTAACGACGTAAAAATCCAGAAAGAGAGAGCTAAGAAACTTTCTGTAGTGGTGTCAATAATTGAGAAAATAGTGGCCTAAAACTTTGGACTGTACATTTTTAGAAAAATTTTTTAATCAAATTGTAAGTTTTCAGGGATGTCATTACAAAATTCTATACATAATATTATTATTATTATTAGGGGTAGGGATGTAAATTATCGATTAATTCATTAATCGTTAGTTGATCGACCTTATCGATCGATTAACGATTAACTGATAAGCGGCTATTTTCCTGAGAATGTAAATTTCTCACGGTATCAATAGTGTCTTTAACATAAAAAGCAAAATATTGCTTATATACTGAATAAAAATGCATGTTATATTGCTCAATTGATGTTTTATTGTAACAGTTGGGATACGGTACAGATAATGGCATTTATGTAGTTTTACAAAATAAATTATGCACAGAAAATTTAAATACATAAAAAATAATTGTGCACTGGCTCATCTGTTGCATGTGAAACATTAAGCAACATAAAATACATTTTAAATAAAAATCTATATGGGTAGGCTTAGCCTACACTATAGTAAGCCTACATATAATAATCTAAACTACTTGTATTCAAAACTTGAAACATTAGCAGCAGCACTTATAAATCCCCCTTGGTCTGAGAAAGGTCAAAGTAAAATTACTAGACCTGGAAACTTCAAATATAGAACTAAACACAACTTAAATCATCCCTGAGGAAGGTGACAGTAAAATTAGAGGGCAGAGTTTCCCATACGTTCATTTATTTGTGACGGCCCGCCACAATATCAATGCTGATCGCCACACATTGATTTTCGCTATTTTTTTTTTTACAAACTAATTTTACGTAGCGTTTGCGAAGACAAAATTAAGACTGTATCTCTGCAACGCTTTATCATGACCTGAGGCGACATACTGCGTTTCGGCACAGCGCCACCTACTGGTCCGGAGATATACGAAAAATGGCTATTTTTGCTAATAACTTCTGAACGATTTGTCCAAAAATCATAAGTGGTCTCATTAGATTCAGGGCGTCATACCAAGTCGACTAATATCTAATTTTCCCATATCGGCCATTTTGGCTGTTGGCTATTTTGAATTTTGTACCAAAATGCTGTATTTTATGAACGCATAAACGTATCGTTACCAAACTCTGTATGGGTCATCAATACAATGCCCTGAAGGAGCCTGACAAGTTTCAAACCAGCGCCACCTAGTGGTAAAATAAAAAATTTCAAACGCTTAGAACTCTGGGTGTGGTTGACTTATTTTCACGCGAGTCATCTCTTTAGGTTCCTGAATCCTTGCCTAATTCAACGATACCAAACATGCTATGTTTCGCCTCACTGTTTGTGTAGCGTTGTGATTTAGCGCTTAAAAAACATTTGCCAATATCTTCGAAACCGTTAGACCGATCGAGGCGAAACCACCGTAGGAAATTTGGAAACATAAGTCGTTGACTATATGCTAATACTCGAATGTCAAAATTTTGATAGTAAGTGGCAAAAAAATCCAATCAAGGGTAATTTTTTTTATGCTCTCATAGATATAAATGTCTATAACTCTAAAACAAAATGTGATTTTCACCAAATTTGACACATGTATCATGTATTTGACACTCTGAGAACACATAAAAAAAATTGTGGGATTGTGCCTCTTGTTGGCGCTATAATAGAACAAAACATGAAATTGCCATTGACTTCAATACAGTATTGTGATATAAAATGCTATACTTTATGAACACATTAGCGTATGGTTACGAAACTTGGTATGAGTCATCGGCACCATGCCTTGAAGGTACTTAAAAAGTTTCGGGGCAGCGCCACCTTGTGGTAAATCATTTATAACGAAATTTCCAAAAATGCTAATGGCTTTTTAATAAATGTACCTATTGTAATGACACTGGTCTTAATAGATTCCTCGGGTTATGCCAAAAACATAGATATCAATTTTGATATCAATAGTCAGCCAAACTTCCTGTCCGCCATCTTTATTTTCTTTAAAACCTACTTTTTCGAACTTCTCCTAGACCATTTGTCCGATTTTCACCAAAATCGAATCGTATCATCTCCAGACCGCGCCGACTAAAAGTTATGGATTTCGTGACGATTGATGCTGCTGCAGCATCAAAGTTGAGGCATGCTGCCAAAATGACTATTCAGGCTTTAACTCTGCAATGCCTTGACATTTTGACACCAAACTTTGTGTCATTGTCACCTCACACCTCATTTCGTAGCTGCACCACCTATTGAAAAAAAAAATCGCTATAAAGCCAAAACAATCTCTGTTACCGTAAATTGTATGTTTATCTCTGTAAAGCTGCTTTGAAACAATCTCCATTGTTAAAAGCGCTATATAAATGAAGGTGAAGATGACTTGACTTGACTTGACTATTGGTCGAAAGTGATAAACCATTAAATCATAATTAGTAACTGTATATGTGATTATTCAGCAATTTTGCCTATAATCATCTTTAAATGCTCATTGTTGCAGTTGGTCTGACACTCCCAGCCATGTTGGCATGTCTTATCGTCTTCTTTGCGCTTGGCCCCGATAATGGCTGCTTGCAGCTATAATTATTATTATTATTATTATTATCATCAAATTTTTTGGGATATAAACTACAGCTGTACGTATCCTAAATTCATAGACATACTTATAAATGTCTGCTCTGATCTGCCAATAGAAATATGATATAACCTAAGGTAGTAGGTATAATTCAATTCAATTAATCTGTATTGCGCTTTTCACAACACATTTGGTCTTTTTCAATAACCGTGCATATGCACAGGTGCAAAAAAATCTATATGCAAATATTTTAACCAACAAATCATGATTCACCAATAACATTCAAAAAACATACTACTGTAGTCAACATTTGAAGTGGATCAAAACCTTTCATCAAAGTTATACATGAATTTTGAACAATACCAGTTCTTGTCTTAGGACAACTTTGATTAACTTTTTTGATCCACTTCAAATGTTGACTATTGTAATGTCTGAATTTACAAAAAAATATAGGAACAACCGAAACCATATGTACGCAAAAATCACATACTCTTTGTGGCCTTATAAACATATTAAGATGACATTTTACACACAGATATTTCATCTTAAATTTATTTCATCATAAGAAGTAAAAGTAAGAAAGGTGTTATAGTGTCGTATGTTGTTTGAGAGTGAAGACGGGCTGTAAAGGAAAGGTTGCATGGAAAGCCCTTACATTGAGATGGATTGGGCGTGTTGTATGAAAATTAAAACCATCTGGCACACGTTTGCCTAAGATCATTTTAGGTGAGGTTATTAGTGAGCGAATTATTTCATCATTGAAACGATTGCCCCCACCTCTACTAAAATTCGAAATGAGCCCGAACCATCTTTAGGGTATCAGTACAACTCATTGCCAATTTAACATTAACTCTACATTAACATCTATTAACTCAAATTTAAGAGCAAATAACAATGTGTAGCATTTTATGATATTGGCACTTTTTTTCTTTTTTTCTTACATTGCCAATTATTTTAGCATTTTACATGATTAAATGTCAGTTCTACTGCAGAAAGTTTCTTGTTTCTCTCTCTAACCAGATCTTAACGTTGTTAGCTCTTTTATAATGGGACTGTTAGAGGAACACTCGTTTTCTGAGCATGAGAGTGTAATTATAGCTCTGTTTATACAGAATAACTGTTTAAATGCTTTGTCTAAGAATGCTTTTTTTTATTCTTATTTTTTTTTGTCTACTTCATCTAAGTTATCTATCTATTTGCATTTGAAGCTTAGTTTCTCTCTCACACACACCTGACTGTTCTTTTAGATTCTACAGATCACTACATCATAAATACACTTTCCACTACAGAAAGTAAGTGTCTTTTTAAGTTCAGTTTTTATTTTACTTTACTATCCAATAAAGAGCTGATTCCTATTGTTAGAAACTTTGGCTCCTTGATCTTTTTGAAATGTTTGAAACTGGTGGATTATAATACGTGATAATTTTAGTATTCCTATAAATTAATTTTTCGTATCTTTGATGTTAGATTGTGACCCATTTAAATGTTTGTGTTTGTCAGCTCAGAGGTTGTCTGTTGTAGAAAATTCCAAAAACCTCCAAAAGTTCTGGTTGGCCGTTGTAGCTTGCTTTTAATTGTCAATTTACATGTTTAAGTTATGCTTAAATTAGTTACAAGTGTTACAAAATTGGTTTTCCCCCCCCTAATATATTGCACTGTTATATTGTACTGTTCATTTTGTCTTAATCTATTCAATTAATTGTCTTAATCTATTCAATTAATTTTCTCTATTTTCAGAAGTATTCATTGGATTGGGTTCTACAGCTGGGGTTCTGGGTAAGTCTCAGTCTGCATAATTCACCAGATAATATACATGTCTACAAAAACCCAGTTATGAAATGAAAGAGGAGTAGAAGTCACATTTTAATTATTACATTAAATGTAAAATGCTGGTTGGTAAAACGAAATGTTCACAAACATTATAAACATGTATTTTATGTTCCCTCCACAGCAAATCCTTTAAATTTTACAGAATTTAGAACAAAACAGAAATGAAAAGTATATGGTTGAAGTAAATAGAAATTATAGTGGCATTCATTATAATCAATATTTATTATTAACCCACAGCCTAAACAATTTTTTTAAAGCGAAACTGAAACTATTGGTGTGTGGGAAATGCACGATGGGAGCTGCACGATTAATCGTTAAAAGATTACAATCTTGATTCAAACACCCACACAAATGACAACGATTCTCCTGTGTCTAATAAACTTTTGACAAAATCTCACCGTAACATTGAGATCTGCTTTGTACTGCTGCTGACCCAGAGAGAGCAGCTGTCATATAGGTTTAAACAGCTTCACAAACCACACAGTTACATATATACGAATATTCACAGAAGTTCTGGGATAAAAGTTTATTGTTCGGATAAAACATTGATGTCTGTGGAAGTGATCAAAATAGAGAAAATCACCTTTTAAAAGTAGCATGGTGTTTCAAATAACGATTAT